GGAATGAAAGGAACGGGATAGAATATAATGAGATGGGATCGTATCCTGTTACCTCTCGTAGTAAATTACAAGTTTCTACGCCAACTCTAGCCACTATGACAAGATGGACATTTGTTAGATACACATACAAAGTTTAAGAATGATTGCCATCTGGCTATGCAGAAGTTATTGGTTGTAGAAAGACGTAGCTCATACACTGAATACCTAAACGTACCTAAAGATCAATGACATTTGATTTTTCATCCATCATCTGTTATAAGTAAACTAGCCTTAGAAGATATTTGGATATATCAACAAAGTTGAAATGGTAAATTGGCCACAGTAACGATTACAAATGCTGACGTTTCGAGCGTTAGCCCTTCGTCGGAGCGAATAGAGGAATTGTGGGTTGTGTGTGCTTTTGAAGGCAGAAAATGGAGCTACGTTATTGGTGGGAACATGGCAACGAGAAAAACACGAATAAATTAGTGGAATGAAAAGCGTTCGTTGATCCCTGTGGGATTTAGACTGCCAAACTAACAGTTTCTTTCGAAACTATCAGCCCTTCTTCCAGTTAACGGTGATTTGTACAAGCAAGACGGCGTTGCGATGGGGTTTAACATTAGGACCACTAGTGGCTAATGCCATTATGTGCTCCATTGAGGAGAAACTTACACATGAAAAAAGCTTCCCGATTTCTACAGAAGATACGCCGATGATACCTTCGCTCTTGTACCCGACCTTGCCGCTACTAGTGAGTTCTTTTGATTTCTGAATGATGTGAAAGAAAGACCAATAACCGCTTCAACTCCTGTTTCTAAAGAAAAAAGACCAATAAATGCCTTCCGCGCCATTATCAGTGTCATTTTGACAACAGATATAAACGATCACCAATAGGAACTATGCTTGATCACGCCAGCCGGTTGACATCCTAGCCAAATCCTTCCTTAAAAAATGTCAGGATCTGAAGACAATGAAGTTTCTAAAACTGAAATATCCTAAGAAACTTATCGATTTTTTTTTTTAAGAGATGCCATGCTTTCCTAGACCAGAACTAAAACCAAATTGCACTAATCGACTGCCCCCATACAAATCACCGTGTGTAGACGATTAAGCGACCCTAGAAAGAAAATCGACCGTCTACTACAGTCAGTTTTCACAAGAAGGAAAATCACGGAAGACTTAAAAGTCATGGAAAGAAAGCCCTCACTGTTAAACAAACAATCCGTTGTGTATGAAGTTAAATTTAATGCGCGTGATGCGAATCATATGGCTACACAGACCGTCATCTCCACCTTCGCATCGAGGAGCACAAATATTCCGTCATCGTTAAACATCTTAAACGAAATATTTCGTCCTTATAAGGAAGATCACAATAAAAGACCGAACAATCTTGACGAGCAGTTTACCATAATAAAGAAATGCCGCGGAAAGTTTGAGTGCCTTATTCATGAGATGCTTTTAATATGTAGATAAAAACAGACCGACTCCAAACATTCAAAAAGACTTCACTCCAGCGAAACCGTTCATTTGAGTATGAACATTCTTTTGTTTTTCTCCACCTCATTTTATTCTAATTTAGTTTCACACTTTCCTTTCTTTACACAACGTCACTTAACCTGTAACACTACATTTGATAATGATGACCTGTCGTCGACGAAACGCCATGTTTAAATTGCACTATTCTTTATCATGAAAGATTATAAGCCAGGTAAATCTTAATAGTTTGAAATGACCAAGTGCAATAGTTTTTTTATAATTGTTTATTAAGTCTGTTCTATTCTCGGTCAGCGGTCAGACAGCTTGGCTAAGGAAACAGTCTGTCATTTTCGATGCACCTCCGCGCAAGGAAACTATGCTTGATTTCAATATCATTTATGCACGATTGGCCACTATTTGAAGGTAGTTAATCTCAGGTCACGTGGCGAGCTCTTATCTGATGAAAAGGAAGAAGAGGTACAATGACTGATCATTGATAATTGTTAACAGGGTCCTTTCGCACTCCCTCGTTGTGAGAAGACAGACCTGGAAACGAGACGATAATTAACCAGTGAGCGCGCGTTGGATTTGAAGATGGTTTAAACCCACGAAGTGGCTCTAACCTTTAGAAGTTCGGGTAGTTAAAAAAGCTCAACGAAACTTGTGCTCTATAGAAAGTGATAGGTTTACCATATTTTGGATACATGTCATATGAGCTCAGATGCTATGGCCTGGAAACTGATCAAAAAGCCCTGTGTATGCTTAAGGGAAATACCAATTGCTTCCCCCAAGCCTTGCTCTCGAGGTGTGCAATGATGAATTTTACCATGTGAGCACACATTACCAAAACGATGAAATCAAACTGATACCAGTGTCATGATAATAACATGAAAGTGGCTAAGACTCGTGTGAATCGTGTTGCAAAGGGGCCAGGGAGAAAATTTTGACTGGTCGACGCCAATCTTGCACAAGAGCTATTTTCAGGAATTGCAGTGTATTATGAGTAGACCAAGCAAGGCTTTTTTATGCCAAGGCGGACTCATCATATCTACACATATTAAAATCCTCAAGTCAAATATGCCGCTTAATCGATAGGATAAATGTCTATCATTGGAAAATGATGCAGCTGATTCCATAGCGTGTAGAGAAAAATGAAACTCAGAACCCACTTACATTTGTGACACATATTTCCCACGAGGTAACTGACGAAGATTTGTACACGTTAATGACCTGTAAACAATTTGATATTGAATGAGATGAGTTTAAACTGGTTAGACCTTCAAAGCAACGCGATCGTTGTAAGAATTGTAGGAGTAGTAATATGCCAGGAGGTCTTCGTCACCAAGGCAAACTCGGGTTTCCATAACATCGAGTGACTTGAGGTATTGGTCCTTCGCTCGGATCTGATTGCATTCCATCTCCTGATAACTACCCTCCCCCTCTTAAATAACTGGACAGTGAGAACTAATAGAGGTAAAAAAACCGACTGGAGATACTTTATACCCATAAAGCCAAAACACAACAACGGAAATGATAATTATGAAGATGTCAATGACCACGAGGACGATAATAATGATGATGGTAATATTGATATTAAAAGGTTTGTTTCCGCGTCTAGACTGCTCTCGTCTCTTCGTAAACATCCGTCATTTTGTCCCTTGTTCCTAAGTATGTTTGAAAACACTTTTGGAAATAATATGGTAATTCTTGGAATTCAGCAGTCCGGAGATTCCAGGTAAGCAGGAGAATACATAAAGTATATCTTGGAGTTTTTAGAATCCAGGAGGCTACTACTAGTTTCAATTTCTGGTAAAAAAAAAAGAAAGACGACGTGTGTTGCGGCTTGACTTACACTTTGGTATGGTTTGTCATTTCGTCGAAAATCCCATCCGGCAACGAGCTTAAAGGATTATCAAAGATAGTTCTGAAAATAAAATACCTAATCATCATTCAAGAAATAATTTGCTAGACTTTGCAAAAGCTTCTGATATCATTGATCAGAAATGTTGGGGAGGCGGAAAAAAAAGTTCAGTTCATGTAGTTTATATCCTAAAAAGAGCCTCAAAGGGAATCAATCTATTCAATTTACTCACAACTGCTTCAGTACAAGTCTGTCAAAAGTCGTACTTTCGATAGTCTTGATTGCATTGCTGTGAAGAAACCTGCGGAAAAAAATTACGTTTCGGTGAAACAAATTAAAAAACTTAGGACTAAAAGTAAGGGTAAGAATCTTCAGCACAAATTGCAGGCCATTTTGATAGTTCTTCGTTTATTTTACCCTCGAAAAACAGTGCTGCCCTGCCCAAATTTGCTAAAGGAAAATAAAACTACCAAACTCAAACTCCTTACATTTATTACATCAAAGATTCTACGAAACTAAGGAGACATGCACAAAATACTATTTAATCAAATTGTGTTCAATGTTTAAGAATCAAAAAATTTTTCATTGAGAAAAGAAGAAACGAAAAAGTAGAACCCTTTTTCTTGTTAACAGAATCCGGAATGTATCTGAAGCAAATCATATTTAATAGGGTAGCTTGTGGTGATGCACTACGATACACGTGATACAACATTTCACGATGTGTGGAAAATCTCACAACCAAAGTTTATATCTACAATGATTTCAGACGAGGAGTTCCATCAAAAGCGTCTTTGGCAATAAATGTAATATTGTTTTTGATCAGAAACCTGGAAAATAACAAGAATAGGACATATAGAATTGATTAGGAATGTCATTAGAAACATGACGTAAAAGATGTGCCATTTATAATGGTTACATTGGTAAATGAACTAACATTTGAATAACGAAGTTAACGAGTCAAATTTCATTTGTGATCCACGACTAGGGTTGCTCTTATAAATAAACTTATTTAGTGGCATGTGGATGTTAGAAATTTGAATCTTGTTTGATACATTTGTGACGTAGTATTTATGAAGGTATTATCATTTTGGAGTAAGTCCTGTAAGATCTTAAAACTTTTCAACCATGCATACACACTCACTAACCAATACGAGCCCACGTTCTACTTCTAATACTTGCCAAATCAGATCACATAAACGGCATTACATTGTAAGTACATTCATGGCTATTAGGTATTTCCACAATAACGTACTTTTAAAAATGAAAATGGCTAAGAATTTAAAGAGTTTCTAATCAGTTGGTGATAATAATCAATTATGGGATGAGGTTAAGCATAATATGATGAATTATCAATGCTAGGGTCTGAGCGATCTGCCGAAGCCGAAGGCTGCGGCAGGTAACACAGACACGAGGTTTGATAATTCACAATGCATTGCGAAAGCCAAATTCAATAATTTTTTTTAGCATAAATTTTTTTTAACAATCTGCATTAAAAGAAAATTTGCTCCGAATTTGCAAAAGATTGAGAACACTATTCGGACGAGGGGCTTGGAAACTAGATCGATTTTGAGCTGAACATGATAACCCATTATCTACTTCAGTTACTGGGTTATCCAGTCAACTTCACACGCCACCGTATATTGACAAAAATACTCTCGACCAATCAGAGTCTCCATAGTAGGTCTCAGGTACAATGATAACATGTATTTGTATTTCCTTAGTTTTGACCGAGAAGAAATATGAAACATTTTGAAGAGCCTGAATTTAAGCAACAACGGTTAAATTATGTCTCATGAAATGTGTTGATATTATAAGCTTTTCTGTACATGAAAGTTTTATTCAAAAAAAAATTTAAAGAGAGTCTTTCTGTGCGGTATAAGTATTCTTTTGTTTGCTACAGTACAGTTGACTCGACTTATACAGATGGTTTTGTCAAAGTTATTTTCGGGGGAAGGGAATTAAATGAGAGCCTCCACGCAAGCCATTAATTTTTTCATTTTTCTGCGTTTTTCCGTAAATGCAGCATTCTGACTGGCAGGAACTGCACGTAAATTTCCGCGTCGAAGAGAAAAAAAAAACAAAATAGAAAAAAAAAAAGAAAATATATATCTTATTAACTATTTTTGATGTGCGGAATGATGCAAAGTACTTTTCTGAGCTCTAGATTTGAATTTTATCAGGAGCCCATTACCCGGAGCTTCCGTCTCATTTGTGCCCTTTAGTCAACCCTGTCCCGTATCTTTTTATTTTAGAACCGAGATATCTGCGGGGGTTCTTTAATCTTTCCGCGCTTTCCGCCGTTATTGAAATAATTTCGTGCGACCTGCAAATGACACAATAGAGACGACAATTCTCTCATGATTGGCTATTATAAAAATACCCGCGAAAACCGCCGTGGGTGGTGCTTCTAAGAACAGAAAGATACGGGACAGGGTTGGCTCAGAGTGTCAGTATGGAAGGTAGAAGCTCCGGGTAATGGGCTCCTGATTTTGTTTTTTCTGGGGAGCATACCGCCAGACCCCTTAGAGCAAAAGGACCTCAAGCCCTTCCGAGTAAAAGTCGCCAAATACGCCATCGGGAAGTGCATGTGGAAAAAGTCGTGGAAACCTTAACAAACACCTCTTTAGAAAAGCATGTGGAAAACTTACAGCGTGGTCAAACTGGAAAGTCCACTGAATGTGTGTTTATTAATGTGAGTGATGTTGTTGAAGGTTAGCACCCTAAAAACAAGGAAAAAATTTATATTCCTGAGATATCACATATAGCAGGTTATACATAGTTTAAACTTTTGAAAATAAACCTTCAAGAAAACTCTTTATGATGTTTTGTATATTTCATTTTAAGAAGGTATTTTTTATCCCTTGGAAGTCACTTTGCAAACATGGGTATTGTTCGGTTGTTTAGGTTACAATCGGTTGTTCATGATCAGGGAAAAGGATATGATGTCATGAGTAGCCCACCTTAAAAAAAAAATTGCAATTGGGGGCAAGTATAGCAAGGATTGTGGCACAAATTCAGAAAATTGTATCTGGTCCGTATTGGGATTCATGGCAACAGTTGTTAGGGAGGATAAACGTCTTGAGAGGCGGGGATCTCGACCCGATTATTCATTGTTATTTTGGTGTTCATCTGGAACAAGTGAGTTAATCATTTTCCTACCATGGCTTCCCCTTTTACTTACAGAGTGTTTAATTGGTCGAGCCTTTTAAACACGTTATCTGGTAATGACTGCAAGCTGTTGGACGACAAATCACTATGGAAAGATGACAAAAATATAGTTATTGACAAACTAGACGCAAAATGCCCAAAGAAAGACGTTACAGGATCATAACTGATTGAATCCTTTACATAACCTAACATTAGTATGAGTGTGAAGGTGTAGTCTGATCGTCCGGGTGAGTGTAGTCCCGAGAAGGACTGTTGTCGGTGGTAGTGACTGACGTTTCGACAACCTGTGCGGAAGTCATCATCAGAGTCAAGTGAATGATTGTTGTCAGTAGAATGTTCTTATTCCAGTTCGTGTGAAATGATCGGTTGGTTTTGCCGTGATGTTATTGGCTGTAAGACTCAAGTGACGTAAGTCGGTCGTGATTGGTCTGTTTCGATCTGTCGGTAAAGTTAGGTCGTTCTTTTTCGGTCGTTTGTGATGTTTATGTCGTGAATGAGTCGTTTGTATGGAGCGGGTAGTTGTTGACATCTGTTTAGGGGAGTCTGTTCTAAGTTAGTAAACCAGCTTTCCAGAGTCAGTCGTTGAAAATAGTCAGTGCTGTAGGTTAGGCATTGCGCAGAGTCCCAGTCAATGTTGTGGTTGGTAAGTCGATGGTGTTCAGCAATGTGATTGCTGACATCACCTTTCCTCGTCGCCCGTCTGTGTTCAGTCAGTCTTGTTGTGAGGTTTCTGCCAGTCTCACCGATGTAGGAGGCTTGGCAGTCGGAACAATTGATCTTATAAATCGTTCCCTGTCTGTTCCTCGGTNACTGACGTTTCGACAACCTGTGCGGAAGTCATCATCAGAGTCAAGTGAATGATTGTTGTCAACAACAATCATTCACTACTGACAACAATCATTCACTTGACTCTGATGATGACTTCCGCACAGGTTGTCGAAACGTCAGTCACTACCACCGACAACAGTCCTTCTTAGGACTACACTCACCCGGACGATCAGACTACACCTTCACATGTTACCCCCGGGTTCAAACCATTTACTGCATCAGTATGAGTTTTGACAATCTCCTTTTAGTAAGTGATGATTTCCCTTATTCTCATTACCTTAATGTCAGTACTCTGGGGTGACGTCATTGGAAGAAATTAAGTGCTGATCACTATTAGGGGTTAATGGTTTAAAAGAAGAATCATCCTCAGTGAAAGATCAAATCCTTATTATCTGTACTTTTTACAGGATATTTTCCCTTATATCTTGGCTTACGCAGTAAAAAGAGTAGGTCAAAGAAAAAAGGATGGAAAATTTCGTTTACTTGTCTGTTTTGCGTAACGGAGGAAATCACAATATATTAAATATGGATACATGTAAGTGCTACTTCTATTTTATCTAATAGTAAACATGAAAGAAAAATAGGCGCTCCTGATTGGCTTAAAACGAGTGCATTTCTCGTGTAACACGATTGCAAAGTTGTGACACGAGTGCAAATTACAAGTAGTGCGCGTGGTGTCAAAATCTCGTGTCTTGACTTTCTGTGATGTTTTTTTTCTTCATATAAATCATAAATAAGTAATACCGTGATTATTCGTGCAAAGACCACAAATTGAACTCGTTTTATGGGTTCGTTCAATTTATGGCTTTCTCTCTCTGCCCAAAACAAAATCCAAAAATGCTGCTCTTGCCTACCACAAACAATTAAGGAGGAACAAAAAACGATGAAATGACGGTAACAGTAAAAACGTATAAAAACTTACCACGCAGCAAGTCAAAAACAGCTTCTCACTCCGACTAATCGAGGCGAATGATAAGCACATGGCTTGCGAGTTCATGTGACTTGTCAAAAACCTTAGAGGGGGTCAAGCATAATGGCCATTGACCCCTCAGCCAAATCCAGTCCCCCCTTGATTGTCAAATAAACCCGGGTCAAAGAGAGAAGGCATAAAAATTCTATTTGCGAGCAAATATTTTGTTTTTTTGTATTTAAAAAACTTGCTCGTTCTCATTACTACCAAATTACACTCGAAATCATGTGACTACCTACAATAAGACTATCAAAAGACTGTCGCGAAATAACAGGTCTATCATATTACTTACAGGCCTTCCACTACGGAAGTATTCTGAAATATGTTTATTGGAAGGAGATCGATCTTGTTGTTACCCAACCGTCTACAAGATATAAACAATATTTTCACACGTATGTTGAGTTGGAGCAAACTTAAATCTAGTCCAAAACATGCAGCAGAAAGGAAGCTGGTTTCCTGATAAACACCCTAAAATGAAACATTCAGTTCAATAGCAGTCAAATACTTACAGTTCAAATACTCGTCCAATCCCAGATGTCGCAATCCTTGACAAATCTCTGATCTTATTGCTTTGTAAGCGTCTGAGACAAGTATACGCAAATGGATTTCAAATTTTTGATGCCGATATAACTTTTTTCAACAATATGATGAAAATCACCCTTATAGTGACCACACCCACGCACTGCTTGTAATGTTTAGGAAGTTCAACTGTTTAGGTAAGTCTATTTTCCTAGTATCATCATAGTTTAAATTGTCACATGGGAGATAGATAGATAAATAGATGAATAGATCGAACGATAGATTAGCAGAAAGAAATTGTATCAGTATTTACTGAAAGACTGATATACTGGAACTGATAAAACTTATGATGTGTTCACGATGTGCAAAATGACTGCAGATTTCAAGATTTTGAAATCGTGACAGGTATGAATATCCTTGAACGGACGAATGTTTTGCGAAACATTTAAAAGTGAACTCTTTCACTGATACTGAATTCGACTAAGAGGACTTTAGAGGTAAATTACAGTAAAGAGGCTTTTGGTGAATAAAAGAAGAAATTACATGAGCCAATAGGTTAAGCCCATCTAGATTGTGCCAGCATAGTGTTTTGTTTTTTGTTTGTTTGTTTTTTTTTTAATAATGAAGTAACATTGCTATCATAATCATTATTTTTCATAAAGGGAACATTTCTAGAGTCATGACCTTTTCGGTTTGTTCGGTTAACGAGCCCAATTTTAAGCATAGTTTGCTACTTTTACCAGCACAATCTAAAAGGGCATACAGTATGCAATGGAACACATTTTCTTTTTGCTCAGGCGACTATCAGCAATTATTAAAAACTGGATCATTGGATAATGCAATTCAAGACTTTTCATTGGCTTAGCCATTATGGTATATGAGCCAATATACCATAAACTACGATATGGTAAGCATATGCATAAGCTTAGAATTGAAAGGGAGCTAAAAATTTAATAAAATTTAATAATTTAATGTAGGGTTTTCAATAAAACAATTATTCCACTCGCGTTTGTTGGATATGAGATGATTATAGCCAACTCGGCGCTACGCGCCTCGTTGGCTATCTATCATCTCATATCCAACGCGCGCTCGTGGAATAATTGTTAATTATAGTTCACCACTAAATTTTCTCCGGCTCTTATTGGTTTAAATCGATCACGTGACGCGATAGTGTTCATCCGTGGAGAGACATTATAAGCCCATAGTGCCCGCCAGCGGAAAATACCCGGATGGATAGTGCCCGTCCGCGGAAAATACCTGGATTGATAGTACTCATCCATGAAAAGTTGAGAATAGTTTGACGGCCGCGAAGTTAGGCAGATCGAAAAAACAGTGACTTTTCAATTCTGACAGGTATAACGTATTATTTAGCCAATGCACGGTTGCGAATTATTGACATTTGTGACAAGCTGTAGGCGCGGAAGAAAATTTAGTGGTGAACAATAAAAGCAATAGAGTGTTTATGTCTCGGAACTATCGGTCTGATAGTTACCCATTGGAAATTTGATGTTCTTAAAACAAATAATTGCCCTCGAAGCTTCGCTTCTCGGGCAAATATTTGTTTTAAGAACATCAAATTTCCGCGGTGCAACTATCAGCCGATAGTTCCTCGACAGAAACACTCTATTGTTTAAATATGTGGCATCAGGAACTATTTCCACCTGCTATAAAGTAAGCGGTTGCATCAGATGCACTAGCCATATCACTTTCTGACCCTGGTGAATTATCAGACCTTCTCACGAGATTTTTTTTTTTAGTTTGTGAACATTAGTAAGGTTAAATTCGAATTATTTGTGAGAAGAAAACATATTTTAGGAATGAGATTTTTGTTTTTTTGTTGGAGTTGAAATAGGCAGTTGCATTTATGTAAAGGAGATCTCTGCATTCTTTTCTCTTCAATGTGTTTAAAAGTCGCCTTTCATTGAAGCGTCTTGTGTTTGATTGTGAAGACGAGTTCATCTGGAGCTAATTATCTCTAACACGTTCACCTCGCTCGCACGTGAAAGGTATCCTAAACACTTCAACAAGATTTATGTCAAAGTGTGTTAATTAAATAACTGCTATTTATAAAAAGATATAACAGCTACTTACAAGGTAATCATAGAGTCAGGACCTGTCAAATCTGGTACAGATGTCAGCTTGTTGTAGTCTAAGTAGCTATAAGATCCAGGCCAACGGAAAAATGGGTAAACAATTGTAATTAGCTCTGATCAATACAGAAAGGTTCTCTTCTTTCTCTTTGGCTCCTTAGTAGTTTTGTCGTTGTCGATTTCTTTTCAATTTTTTCCTTCGTAACTTGTAATCAATAAAGGGTATTAGCAGTCGCAATTGCAAACGTGTAATCTGGCGTGTTGCAACGAGTGACGGTTTGTTAACGAAATAATTCAAAATATTACTTTATTCGCATCAAATTAAAAAGTGCTTCTTACCGAATCACCTGCCATTTTACCTGTTTTATGCAACTGAAGCATGTTTAAATCACTTACCACTTTTTGACATTTTTTAATTGTTTCAAAAAGCCATCACCTATTGTCTCTAGCTTGTTTTTTTGAAGGCGCCTATAGGCAAGTGTAAAGAGAATAGAAGCTATCTAGTCCAAGTGCAAAACGTATCTGAGAAGGGTGGGCGGGGGGGAAGCATATCTATTCCGTTTTGTATGTTTACGTAAAATGAACATCTATAAACCTCACCGTCAAGGTGGATCCAACATTTCAAAAAAAAGACAAAAAATTACTCAAACTATAGGAGGCAATGTCCATTGTTTGGACCCTAATAACAATAGAGATTACCATTATCCACAAAAATATGAGTAAGGTCTCTTAAGTTATTCCTTTCAAAGTCACATGACGAGGCAGAGAAAAGTAATGCACAGCCAACATACTTACAAAGTTTTTAGCTGATCCGTTAGTCCTTCCATTGTACCCTGGTGTATATGAGTTAGCTTATTGAAGGAGAAATCACTGAAAACGGACAAATTTAAAAGAATCATGTGATGTCGCTTATTCAAGGTTGATCTCAACCCAAATAAACCTTTTTCTTATGGTGCGATGAGAGGGATGGGACAAGTGAAGTGTTTGCACCAAAAAACCCAGTATCAGATCTCTCCCCTTCGTTGAGCTCAGACTGAGTTGAGAATCCAAAGAGTAACATTAAAAAAAAATTTCCTTCAGATTTCCTAAAAATTTCGACGACGGACTCCTTCATTTGAATCTTGCTTAGCTTACTCCTCATTTTAGTTCTTCTCTTCGAGATCTATGTAAACAGCTGGCAGTTACTCCAAAAACAAATTAAGGATCCTTAACGCTAATAAGAATATAAGAATTTCTGTGTTTAGAAAACCAGCCCACGTGCGATTGTCGCCTGCGACTTCAAAGTTATCTAAAAAAAACGGTGGCGTGCATAGTCAAATTCCTGGCGCATTCATAGCATGCGCTTTTGATTATTACATGTTAAAGAGCGCACTATAGATTAATAAAATATTATTATTAATTATTAGCTAATTTATGAACGGTTAGTGTTCTCAAAACAAAGCTATTGGTAAATTTTTGTATTAATTTTTTTTATTTACAGAGGGAAATTTCTTTTTATTAGGTTTTCAGACGCAACTTCGACAAGACATGCCAGGTGTTATGCTTAAACGTCTTAAAAAATGAAAAAAAGCCAAACAGTACTCACAGGAATTGTAGGTGTCGCATCGCTCGAAAAGTTCCATTGTCGATATTTTCCAAGTTGCAACTTTTCATGGAACTATAGAAGTTATATGAAAAAGTCAGCGTTTTAGGAAAGATTAAGGAAGACTTATTGACATATTTTACAAGGTTTTTCAGCTGATCGAGGAATTTACGCTAAAATAAATATTGCAAGAGTCTTCCTTTTTCACTTACTTTGAAAATGTTTCAGAAATAAGAAATGAAGGTGTTTTAACTAAGGAACGGTACTTTTTATCTTGGGTAGTATATGAAAGGAGTACCCATAATAAGACTAGTAAGGCGAAAATTCCTTTGTAATTTTTCAATACGCTTATCTGTCGGGCCAAAACTAACTGTTCCTGATTAGTTGACTTAACAGCCAAGCTAGTTGTCTCGGAGGTGGCAGCGGCTAATACCAAAAAAAATGCATAGAGTTTTTAGGGAAAACGATTTTTTTTATTATAACCTATATGACAACAATGGGTATGTGGTTATGTAATAATAAATGATGAAATAAATAAAGCAATAATGATATATTATCTTAACCTCTTAACCTATTACTAAATATTTAGCCTATTAGTTAATATTTTAGGAGAGGGTTGGGTTGGAACTTAAACCTAATAGGGGACTTCTGTCCTATTGTTTTTGCTCCGGTACTGCTTGTACAAATCCTTCAGGAGGCTCAAAAGGGTTTTATGACCGCGCAGAGAATGGATTCCAAGATACACGCAAGCTAATTACTCGCGAGAGAAACAAGCGATGGCGCGCGCAATCAGATCCGCGGGCGAGTTGTAAACAAACATGGCCGCCATGAGCGTTTCAAAATTGCCGGCACCTCTATTGTTTCCAGCGGAAGTGGTTGTTTG